TAGAACTCAAATTAACAATACTCGATTGTTAGACAGCTACGAATCGACAACAAGGTCAGACGGAAAACCTTTGCTCTGATACCAACTTTGTAACACCCCAATTCTACTCGGAAATTTATAAATGTAAATTAGAGTAATAAAATTCATGCAACTGAATCAGAATGCCACAAATTCAACTTTAAAAACATATTGCATTCAACGTGGATACATAACACTTTAAAACTTTGGATGAACTATCAGCATAATAATTTAATCCCTTAATTCAACAATGTAAACATCTACGCAGCGGAATTCTTAGTAACATCTTAGTTCATTGTTACAGCAACTTCAAAACAACACATACTTAGCAACAATCAAATTAAAGTTCGACAACTGAAATAATCAACAATTAAAAGCAACAAGCGTTCATCCCCCTGAGTGTTACGTATCAGAGCAATGACACCGACTCGAACTACTAAAGGCATACAACCTTCACTCTGGATTACCTGCATGTTACCAACATAAGGGTAACATTCAAACAGAAGGGGTGAGATATCTAACAATATAATAAAACATATGATAACTAATATATTAAATTAGATCACATAACATCACCACTTCTCATCTTATAAACAACAATAGTCGTGACAGAATACAAACAATATACACATTCACCGCATCAATACACAACTTCTTTATGCAATCATATAATGCGACTCAATATTATGCAAATGCATGTGGTACCATTGGAGCAGAACTCCTATCTCAAATAATTTCCAATAAATAGAGGTATCAACAAGGCACAAACCTTCATCTTAATATTCGCCAATACAGGCCATCTTAACGAGCATATGCTCCATTTTGAAATGCAATGTATGCGACACAATCATGAATGTAATGACAACACTATAATTAACAACATCTCAACACAACATCATCTTTGGCCAGAAGTCAACATCTTAATATCTGCCAATCATTAGAGGCATCTCAACATCATTCATCAACATCGTTTATCAACACCATTTATCAACATAATTCATCAAACATCATTTATCATCATAATTCATCAAACATCATTTATCATCATAATTCACAGCAACTCAGCCACAACGACAATACAATGGCAGGCTGACAATCCTTCAACGTTGGCCATAGGCCTACAACATGATATTGCCTATAATTAATTAATCATCTAAGGCTTACCTCTAATTTACCAAACCTCTACATATTATTAATTATGTAATACTACATCATTATCATTATTAATCTCACTGTTATGAACTAAACAATAATTTATAATCATCCCATCTTCATCATACTTCACAAAATCATCATAGAAATTTACGCGGGAAGCTAACTCTAATCCTAATTTGGGTACTAGGATTTACTCTCCTTATCCTTCATTTTAATCCTTAAGAATGAAATTCATCGCGTTAGCTATCCAACGCTTTGAACGGCACCTCAAACGGAGTCCGGAAACTCAAGTTACAGCCTCTGGAAAACGAATCTGTCAAAAACCAGACTACATGAGTCGACGCATAACGTCTTGAGTCGACGCGTAATGGGCTTAACACACTGCATGAGTTGACATGTATTCCCTTTGTATCAATTCATATTGAGTCTGCAACACTGCATGTATCGATACATGTTCCTACATATTGACTCATCTTGAGTCTAAAAGCCTGCATGTATCGACACATGGCTTCTTCGTATCGACCCATCCTGGGCCTAAAAGCCTTCATGCATCGACGCATGGTTTTTGGGGTCGACACATACTGTTCTGTCATGAATATTTTCTGCGATTTCACTGCGTTTTCACTGCGGTTTCCATGCTTTAGGCCCTAAAAACATTCTCTAATCATAGGTAATCGTCAATTATAATTATCCTATAATTCTACGTCAATTATACAACATTAGGGAATCATTATTCATCCTTAAATCATTGATTTCTATCATACCACAATGTATATAATTCAATCATAAACCAAACAATCTTTCACATCTAATCCCACATACCAATCATCATAAACCCTATTATATAGTCAGAACCCCACCCTTACCTTGGATTGAAGGTTTCTCTATAACTTTTTCCAATTGAATTTTGTTCTGCCCCTTTTCCTGTAACTTTCACGTTTCTTTCTCTTCTTCCAACCCTTATTCTTTCTCTCTTACTGCTTCTTCTTTTCTTATTATTTCTAACAATAATAAAATAACCCTATAATTCTTATTATGCCTTAATGGGCTTAAGACTCCTGCACCCCTTTTTTTACTACTTATATCCTTTAAAACAAGCCCACATCAAATAATATTATCATTCTAATATTATTCCACAACTTAATAAAATAAATAAATCCAATAATCACCACACATCAATTATCATCATAACACAAATTCATAAATATTCCAAAAATAATAATTAAATAATTAATTAAATTACGGGCGTTACACTTTTGAATATCGAAGCACTGAATGTGACTCTTGTCAGGTTTTTGACCACCGCCTTTTCCTCTACCTCCAGCACCACCCCTTTGGTTGCTTTGGTATGTGAGTCTTCTTTGATTCGATACAATTCCTACCTATTAGTTTACTCTACCAGTTATATTGTTGTAGCTTCCTCTACCTCTATTGTCGAACCACTTTCCTTTGTCTTTCTTTTCTCTTGTTGGTTGTGTCTGCAAAGCCATATCACTCTTCGACTTTCCTGCAACTCTTTCAGTCATTCTTTGTTCATGATATTCAAGCGTCCCTTGAAGCTCTTATTTTGTTAATATCGACAAATTGTTTGGCTCTTCAATGGCTACCACCACGTGGTCAAACTTTAGAGCCAATGACCTCAAGATCTTTGCAACAATTGATCTTGTTGTTAACGTTCTCCACATACTTTGATTTGATTCACTAGCTTCGTAACCTTAGTGAAGAAATCAATTATGCTTTCACTTTCTTCTATCTTAAGCAATTCATACGTTCTTTTGTGAGTTTGTAACCTCTTCTCTTTTACCTTTTATGCACCTCTAAAAGACTTTTCTAGAATTTCCCAAACTTCTTTCGCAGATTCTACATCACTCACCTTTTTGAAATTGTCTGGACTCAGACATTGATGAATTATAAAGAGAGTTTTATAATTCTTCTTCTTCAATTCTTTGTGTGCAATCTCTTCTTCTGTTGTGTTTTCTTCAAGCGGTTCTAACCCTTCTTTCACAAGATCCCAAAGATCTTGAAAACAGAACACAATCTTCATCTGCTTGCACAAATTCTTATAGTTATCAACTTTAAGAATTGGAAGACTTCCAGGTAAATGCCCGTTTGGATTATTCATTGCCATCGTGATTTTCTTGACTTGAATCGTGCAACCAAAGCTCTAGATACCAAATGTTGGAATTCCACCAAACCTATGGAGAATTTCTATCAATTTTGATTAACATTATTATCAATACATAATAACAGTGGATGGAAAAATTAGGGTTTGATAAAATATGGAAGAAGAAGAAGATTTTATGCAGAGTTTCTCTCTGTCTATAATCTGTGAAAAAATCTTATTCACTTTGCAACTACAAAATTCTATGAATACAAGTTATTACAAAATAGAGGTTACTCCCTATATTTATAATGAGCTTGCTTGCTCCCTAGGCCAAAACCCACAAACTGTAAAAGCCTAAAATAACTATTTAGACCTAAGTCGAAATACTGTATGAAGCCACCTGCTTCGACACTTCGACATACTATACAACTAGACACACATTAGATTATTTCGACACAACCTTCCTTCTGTCAAGCAACCTGCTTCAACACAAGAAATTACAATTTCTACACTATTTACAGGAGATGAAAAATGGTTCTTCCAATTGTTAAAATAATAATACAAGTGTGAGTAAGTGGGATTGGTTTCGAGATAGGGACTGACTTACTTGTATCGAAATGTCCAGGAAGTGGTGTCTCATTTCAAGGTGTCAACGGGGTGGTACAAGTGTATGTGGATAAAAAGAGTTCCCACTTGAAGGAGAGCATTGTAGACTCACACTTAAAGGAGAGCGTTAGAATGAAAATGCAAGTTTGAGTAAGTGGGAAAATAATTCCACGTTGAATAGAAATGTGATGACTTGAGCATTTATAAGTGGGAGAACTCACTCACATATCACCTTAAGATTTTAAGTAGACAAGTGGTATATCTTTCACAAAGATGTCTGGTCCTACACTATATATGAATGTTCCCTAATGAAACCCCCACACCAATAAATATCAGTTAAATACTTTCTCACACTTTCAACACCTTTGAAATCATCTACCTCATTAAATCACCTTTGAAATCATCTATCTCATTAATTCAAAGATGATAAACTATAGTCTCACAATATCTACAGCTCTTATCCACTGATTCTATTTTCGGGAAGAATTGAAGGTTTTGGAAGCCAAGACTAAGCTACATATTATAAGGTAGAGCACAATCATTAATGCTTGAGAATTTTTGAACATTTATTTTATGTCATCCTTTTCTTAATCAACCAATGGTAACCTGATTTGGTTGTATGGCTTAAAATGGAAGCCTACCAACTGATTTCTTAATCTCCATTTATTATTGACAAAGATGTCATACTAATCATGTGTTCAGTGTCATGAATGACAACAAAGTCTCCATTTATTATTGACAAAGATGTCACTAATCTTGCATTCAAGGCTGTTAAACTCTTCAATTCTTTCAACTTTATATGAACTAGTAACTCAAAAGCAATAAACATCATATCTTAGGATGAAATCATCAAAGAAAGTTTTAGTACAATCCTTATATACCTAAGACAACAATTATCAGTTAATCATGTCTGCATTATATAGATAATTCATCAACTTGAAATGCTGAGTATAAATTAATCTCCCAACTCAGATAGCCCATAAGCTTGTTAGCACTAACCAACATTACAAAATGCTTAAGTGATACTACTTCTGAGAAAGTTAAATTAATTAAGTTTTGGAAGCATGGCAAACTTCAAAAATCTGATTTTTCTTCCACTTCTAATTACCGATACCATTTAGCTACTTAATTGCGACGTGAATATAGCATTTGGCTCGCTACTTCTCATGATCACACCTGACTGATCTCTTCCCGCGATACATGTTTGCAAAGAGTTGTTAGTTGAAGGTGCAACCATCGTGCCTGACTCAAATTCTTCGAAACCTAGGTTACGTGCAAGGAACATGAGATGGTTGTATTTACGAAAGTAATAGTTACATTGAATTGCAAAACAAGAAACATTCACACACCTTGAGAACCAAGTAATAGATTGGTAGCAGCATAGATTGCATTTGATTGCTGGTTCTGCAACAAGTCTTCACCGCGTACCGCCTTTACAAATCACGGACAAACAAATCACAATGATGAACATTATACTTTTAAATTGAACTAAATATGATAACTAGCCCAAACAATTGACTTACCTCGGAAGTTTGTTGAAGAGGTCTTTTATGTGACGGGATTCGGGATTCCGCCGCAAAAGATGTTTCTGCATTGTTAACATATGTAGGATAGGAGGGCATTGATGACTGACTTGTTAATGTGTTTTTGTTAGGAAGATTGGATGCATAGAGCAAAGAGTTGTTGTCTTGGGGATGAGGCAGAGTAGATGTCATGTTTAAAGGGGTAGACCGGTTTCCGTCACTCAATTCCATGCCCAACCGAGACAGTGACAAAGGCTGCAAGCCTTCGGGATAGCACATAGGATGCAAACTTAATCCATTTTTCAATGACAACATCTGAAATATCACCATTAAGGTCACATCTCACAAATAAATCAACGTAAGACACACACTTCATATTGAATACGTGTCTGACGTCCAACATTGTGTCGGTGTCAAACACCAATAGTAGAGGTGGTTACACTCAATTACTAGATGGGTTGGAGAATAGGGTGGTTGAGGTGTAAAAAGTAAAAATGTGCAAGGGTGGGACCAATTAATAATGTGTAAAAAGGTGAAAAATGAAGATGCTTGGTTAAGCTTAGGATACAATGAATGAAGCTCCCATACTCTCAAACTAGGACAAAAGTGCAGTAAATAAAAAGAGATGCAAACCTGTACTTGAAGCTGAAGCTGTTTAAGGTATTCAATAGCTTCATCTAGCATTGAAGCCTTATCAGTCTGTCACACACACATGCAAAACAATCCACAACAGTAAGAATTGTTGAAGAAACACACTCTTTAAACCAAAGGTTTAAAAAAAAACACATAAGCACCTTGTTAGAATTAGGTATTAGATTCTGTAAGGCCTTCATTTTCTCATTGATCCTACTCCTCCTTCTCTACTCAACAAATTCCAGAAAAAAACCATTCCATAAACAAACACTAAAAATCATCAAACACCAATAAATAAATAAAATACAAACCTTTTCAGACAAATTATGAACTTCTGCTGCTCTACTTCTCTTTGAAGAACTCCTAGAACCAACGGTCTTTGTTGGAGCTTCTTCTGTCAATACTTCAATACCCTCCTACAAAAAAAAAAAAAGCAGTTTTTTTTTAAAATTTTAAACCCAAAATCAAATCCCAACCAAAGCAACAAAACGACAAACTGATCAGAATGAAAATGTTGTAGAAACTAGAAAGATCCCCACTAGAAAAAGAGCAAGAATCAAAGTTATATTCTTTTTAGGGCACACAGCAATCTCAGTTATCAACCAGTGTCAGAAACATAACCAAAACACATAAAGAAACAACAAGTTATTGTTTTCATCAAAAACTAAGAACTTATTTCTAAGACCATGTGAAGAAGAAAATATAGAAAACAAGAAAGGTTAAAACTTTAATAAAACTACCTCACTTTCACAGTCATATTCATCAGTGTCATTACCACTGAGTCCTCCTCCAGAGGGGTTTGGTCTGGCAGTGGGATGAAGAGGTGAGATATTTGCATGTTGAAGTGGGTTTGAGAGGATGGATCCAGGCATGGGATGAGAAGAGGAAGATGAAGAAGAAGAAGAACGGAGGAGAATTTGATGGAGAAAAAGGGAGATATCGTCTTGTGAGGAAGAGGAAGAGAGGTTTTTGTCAAAGTGGGACATGTTGTAATGATGGTGAATAATGAGAGTGTTTGTTAATGGTTGAAGAGTTTTGAGAGATACGAGAAAAGTGGTTTGGTTTGGTTTGGTTTGGTTTGTTTTGTTTGGTTAACGTGCGGTGCGGTGGGGTGGTTTGTTGTTAATGTAAGATGTTTGGTTTCACAGATACATGGAATGGAATGGGAAGAGAAGGACATGGTATGGAGGAAGGATTTGTGTGTGGGTTTTGGTTTCTGTTATTTCACGCGCTACTTGTTCTGGCATACACCTCACGCGCCACAACTCTTTCTCTCCCTTTTTCACTTTTTGTGATTTCTATATATTCTTTTCATATAAAATTATTATGTTCCAACCTTTTGAGATGTGATTTAGTCTATTTAGCTAGAAACGAATCATTGGGGTATTTTTTTATTTGTGACTTCTAATATCACTTTTCATATTCATAAAATATTGTATCTTACTTTTTACTATATTAACAAATTGACAAAATTACTTTCATTAGGATGCAAAGTTTCATTAAGTTCTTAGACTTAGTGAAGCTTTTGGTATAAATTGAGTTTTCCTTCTTTCAACTCAACTCAATTTGATTGAATGAATGAAGGAACTCTTGTTCTATTTCAATGTTTTCATTAATCTTTCTTATTCTATTAGTTCAATATGGTATCATTAGCTATTAATCTTAATTCTTATGCATCAATTTTGATTTTATGCCATTGCACCTTCAACCTACCGTTTTAGTTTTGGATCAATCTACTCCTTATTTTTTTCACCTTGATGATGGATCTACACTGTTTTTATCGAATTTAACTTATTTGAATTATCACTCTTATTTTTTATTTTTGCAAAAAATTATTGGTAGAAAAATTAAGTTAGAGTTTATTGATGGAAGCATTTCAGTTTTAAGTGATACATTTAATCCTTTTATTGAGTTTGGAATCATTGCAACATATTGGTATATTCTTGAATTACAAATTATGTTTTGAATCAATTGTTCAATCTATTCTATTCATTGAAAATACCTTTGATGTGTATAGTAACCTCAAAGAATGATTTTCACTAGGAGATCTGGTTCACATTTCCGAGCTTCACAATCTCAAATAAGATGCAAAATTGATAACAAATTTTTTTTCTGATATGAAAATCCTTTGGGAAGAATTAAATTTGTACTTACATATGCTTATGTGCACTGGTCGAGTTAAATGTTCATGTGAAGTAATGTGTAGTGCTCAATCAAACCATAATGTATTACATATAATCTACTTCTGAACTGGTTTAAATGAAAATTTTATTGTTGAAATGTCTCAAACCCTCTTAATGAATCCATTACCTCAAATTAATAAGATCGTTTATATGGTTATTTAACGTGTGAGACAAAGACATTTTCAAATTAGTCCTAGAGGTGCAAGTGTGCAAGTGTTTTGATTTCATGCATTGTTTTGTTTTGAATTAGAGTTTTTTAGTGTTGATTTTATCTTTCCATACAAACTCTAATTTACTAGCATTTATTTGAAAGCGATAAATTGCGAAAAGTAAAATCCTACGTTATTATATCATTTGGGGATGAGGTATACATATTTATAAATGAGGATTGCAAGAACTTAAATTCTAATTATCTATTACAACTATATTGAATATGTACAAGAATTAAATGTATAAGAATGAATGAATGTACAAAGATATAAATGGAATAGGAAATAGATTTTGTTTTGAATTTTGTTAAAATCTTAATTAACTAAAGGAAAAATAATAATTAAAAATGAGAAAACAAACTTAAATTAAATAAAAAACATTTTTAGGTTTTTTATGAGAAAAAGATTTTAATATTAATAAAAGGGTATGAAAAAAAATTAATTAATTAACATAGAAACCTAAAATTCTAAGTTGATTTTAATAAAAAAAGAAAATAAATAAATTAAAACCCTAATCTAATTATTAATTGACTAAAAAAGAAATTAAATTAAATTGTAATAAAAATGTTTTTGGTGTTTTTTGGTGTCTTGAAAAATAAAAATAAGTATATAATAAATAAAACATTTTTGTCCTTTTTTATTAATAAACATAAATATTAGGTTGGAAGCTCCTTCAAAAATCATAGTTCATCGGGATCCTTGTTTAGGTCTGTCATACGTCCAGGTTTTGCACAGTAAGTCACTAACATGATATTCTCACCCGAGAAGTCAAAATTCATAGATTGATAATCACCAATATCTTGATGGGTTAAATGATCTGCCAATACACTTCCTTTGATGGTTTTTTGTGTTGTATGTTGAATATTGTATTCAGTCAAAATCATTTTCCATCTAGCTATCTGTCGGGAGAGAGCGGACTTCTCGAAGATATACTTGATGGGGTCCATCTTATAAATCAATAAAGTGGTGTGAGTCAACATATACTGTCTTAGCCGGTGAGAAGCCCATGCCAGGGCGCAACAAGTTTTCTTGAGCAGTGAATATCTGGTTTCACAGTCAGTAAACTTTTTGCTTAGGTAGTAAATGGCATGCTTTTTTCGGCCAGACTCGTCATGTTGGCCCAACACACACCCCATAGAATTCTCTAGCACAGTCAAGTACATGATCAATGGTCTTCCTTCCACTAGAGGCATAAGGGTATGAGGTTCTTGCAAATATTCTTTGATCTTGTCAAAGGCATCTTGACAATCGTCGTTCCATTTGACTACTTGATCTTTCTTCAAGAGTTTGAAGATTGGCTCACAAGTAGCAGTTAAGTGAGATATGAAACGGGCAATGTAATTAAGACGACCCAAGAATCCTATGACTTCCTTCTCGGAGCGAGGAACTGGCATTTCTTGAATGGCTTTTACCTTTGTAGGACCAACTTCGATGCCTTTACCACTGACGACAAAACCTATAAGCTTTCCAGACCTTACCTCGAATGTGCACTTATTAGGGTTCAACCTCAACTTGTACTTCTTCAACCTTTCAAATAGCTTTTGTAGGTGATCGAGATGCTCTTATTTGGTTTGCGACCTTGCAATCATATCATCCACATAGACTTATATTTCATGATGAATCATATCATGAAATAAAGCTACCATAACTCTTTGATATGTTGCCCCTGCATTCTTTAATCCAAACGACATGACTTTATAGCAAAAGTTGCCCCATTGCGTAACAAAAGTGGTCTTCTCCATGTCTTCGGCAAGACGTCAATATGAGGTATAGGGAAATCATCTTTGGGGTTCGCCCTATTCAGATCCCTATAATCTACATACATACAAACCTTTCAATCTTTCTTTGGCACGGGGACCACGTTCGCAACCCATTGAGGATAAGATGTGACAGCCAGAAAACCTGCATCAAATTGCTTCATTACCTCAGCCTTTATCTTTTCAGACATGTCTGGCCGTATACGACGTGCTTTTTACTTAACAGGAGGAAAATCTTCCTTCGTTAGCAGACGATGAACCACAATGTCAGTATCCAATCCTAGCATATCTTCATACGACCAAGTAAACACTTCAACATAGTCATGTAACATCTGAACCAATCTGATCTTAATACCATCTTCTAGGTTGGCGCCGATCTTGAATTATTTCTTATCTGTCTCAGTACCTAAGTTGATAACCTCGACTGGCTCTTCATGAGGTTGAATAGCTTTCTCTTCTTGCATTAGAAGTCTAGCTAATTCTCCTGGTATTTCACAATCTTCCTCACCTTCGTCTTCGGCTTGGTTAACTGGATGTTTGAAGTCATAACTGGAAATAGTAGAGTCGTTGACAATCAGATCCATAGTGGATGAAGATCTGAAAATGTGTGTGTGTGTGTGTGTGCGCATGTAAGATACATGGCTATTGAAAAAAATGTAATAAAGGAAAAGAAATACAATGAACAAAAAAAAGTTCCAATGGTTTATATTAAATGATCACATGATAAATGAACATGAACAAAACCCTTAACAAATGGACCATAGTTCCCCGGGCAAGGTACATGGCTTAAAAGTCATTGTTTAGAATTTAAGATTACAGAAAAAAGTTATTGAATTGATATAAAACAGTAAACAGTAATTACTCCTCAATGAGGGATAGTAAAATCCTTCGCATGCCAATTGTTGAGCTTTCCTCCGGAAGTATGGTAGATCCATTCTTCAAAAGTGCATTCATCATTAGAGTCTTCAATAACGTTTACTTCATGATTTCCGATGTGAAGAGGTGGTTTTCCCACATGAGCGCGTCTGACCTCTCTTTGAGCCTTGATGGTGAAACCCAACCCAAATTTGTCTACTTTAAACGGAATGTCGGGAAGTTGTCCCCAGATAGTACAGTTTCCATCTTCGACCACGGCACGAGCATCCTTAAGTGAAACCATTCTTGGTATAACTTCATTAGCTTTTGATATGTTGGAGGAGATTTTGGTGGCAGAAACTATATGAGAAACAATTTCGAAGGCCTAGCATGAAGTCTCTATAAATTCACCACCCATTTCGACATACTTGAAGGAAATTGAGATATCTCACCATAAATTCTTCTTCGCCGCAAACAGTAACGATCTTCCCCTTGAATGGGTATTTCAATTTCTGATGAAGGGTGGATGTTACTGCCCCTGCCCAATGGATCTAAGGGCGTCCAAGCAAACAAGAGTAGGTGGGACGTATGTCCATATATAAAAGGTAGAGTTAAAAATCTGTGAGCCAACTTTAATTGGGAGATCCACCTCTCCATGAACCATTCTCTTAGATCCATCGAAAGCCCTTACGACAATATCGGTTGGCTTCCATACCAGTCCTTCATAATTTATCCGGTCCAAAGCACCTTTGGGTAACACATTTAAAGATGAGCCAGTATCAGTTAGGACATGGGCCAGGATGGTCCCCTTGCATTCAATAGAGATATGTAAGGCTTTATTGTGGTTCTTTCCCATATGTGTCAAATCAGCGTCGGAGAACCCTAATCCATTGCCAGTCGTTAAACTTGATACGCCGTTCTCGAACTGGTCAACTATGGTTTCTTGGGGAACATGGGTTTTCTTCAAGAACTTGATTAGATC